AATGCCGGAGAACGCTGATAACAGGAATAAAAGTGTGAATATTAAAATCAGAAGGATAGAAACTTTTTTATTATATATCGAATGCGAAATTTAATTTAGTTTATTTTAGGAGAGAGAGAGAGAGAGAGAGAGAGAGAGAGAGAGAGAGAGAGAGAGAGAGAGAGAGAGTTAATGTCATCTCTCATTTTTTCATTAAAACTTGTTCCAATTTTACTTTTTTTTAATATTGTATCAAAGAATTAGTTTCATTTTAACTATTTATTTTCTGTGTTGTTATTAAGTTCTGAATTATTTTTAGAAAGTAGTATTTTTTTATGTATAGTTTTTGTTATTGACTCACTCATTGATTGACTGATTGACTGACTCACCAACTAACTCACCAATTGACTGACCCACCACCTAACTCACTGACTGACACACTCACTCATTGATTGACTGATTGACTGACTCACCAACTAACTCACCAATTGACTGACTCACCACCTAACTCACTGACTGACACACTCACTCATTGACTCGGAAAACTGATCTCACCTCCCTAAGTCACATTCCCCACATATATAACCTAAGTCCATATCAATCTTCAGTACTATTATAAAATTTTAACTTATTAACATCAACATTATTTCTAAATTTATAAGACAAATCCCAATCAACGCTAAACCAGGAAATTGTCAGGTTTCATCGTTCAAGCCATCAACACGACCTGTGACTCAAGGTTTCTCACCTCTAATCACTCTGTTTACTTGATGCCGAAGAGCTAATTAATGAATTAGATCATCTGAAGATTAGGTACCTAGCTTATGTTCTTCTTGATGATTAACTATATACCATAAAAGGAAACCAACTCAACTTAACCTTACGCAACATAAACTTAACCTAACGCAACATATACCTAACCTAACCCAGCAACATAAACCCAACCTAAGGCAACATAAACCTAACCTAACCTAACGCAACATAAACCCAACTCTAACCTAACGCAACATAAACCCAACTTAACCTAACAACATAAACCCAACTCCAACCTAAGGCAACATAAACCCAATCCCAATCCCAACGCAACATAAACCTAATCCTAACCCAACGCAACATAAACCCAAACCTAACCTAACGCAACATAAACCCAACCTAACCTAACGCAACATAAACCCAACTTCAACCTAAAGGCAACATAAACCCAACCTAACGCAACATAAACCCAACTCAACGCAACATAAACCCCAACCTAACCTAACGCAACATAAACCTAACTTAACGCAACATAAACCAACCTAACCTAACCTAACGCAACATATACCTAACCTAACGCAACATAAACCTAACGAAACCTAACGCAACATAAACCTAACCTAACGCAACATAAACCTAACCTAACCTAACGCAACATAAACCTAACCTAACGCAACATAAACCTAACCTAACGCAACATAAACCTAACCTAACCTAACGCAACATAAACCTAACCTAACGCAACATAAACCTAACCTAACGCAACATAAACCTAACCTAACGCAACATAAACCTAACCTAACGCAACATAAACCTAACCTAACCTAACGCAACATAAACCTAACCTAACCAAAACTTAACTAACCTAACCAATACCCAACAAAATCTAACCTAACCTAACACAACGTAAACCTAACCTAACCTAACCTAACCTAACCTAACCCCCATCCCCAGCTAGCGTTAGTGTGTTTAATCATCAGGTGAAACAAACTAGGGTGCCCAATCTTCATGTGATTCCCCCTAAATTATATCACTAAACCAAACTACTATATAAATCACCATCCTTACTAACGAGCAACGACCCCTAGTGACCTATAATGACCTAGTTCACTGGATGTTAATGATGTAATTACCAAATGATAACATCTTCCAAACACGAACATAAGAAGGCGACAATAATTATTTGACCTCCTCTAACAACGTCTTAACTACCCTCAACCACCACACTACTTCCGCCTTGTCTTGTGGTTGTTAACATTGGTAATAATTAACGATGGTTTTGGTGGGGGACGGGTAGTTCAGGCTAACTTTGGGATGTGTGTTGTTGTTGTTGTTGTTGTTGTTGTTGTTGTTTTGTGTGGTGGGCCCCTCCCCCCTTCTCTCTCTCTCTCTCTCTCTCTCTCTCTCTCTCTCTCTCTCTCCTCCATCATCATCATCATCATCTTGTATAGTGTAAGTCATAGTTAGTGAAATTTGTGTGTTAAAAAGATGAATTTTCTCATTAATGTGTTGCAGAATGAGAGAGAGAGAGAGAGAGAGGGAGAGAGAAAGAGAGAGAGAGAGAGAGAACACAACAGCCTAAGTTAACGAGCTGTTTGACTTAGTGTCGAGGAACAATCCAAAGAGACCGGACAGCTCTCCAACTGCACTGGCTAACCATTACCTCAGAACACGATCCTCAAATCTATTAACATCCAGGTTCACATTTACTGCTGAGTAGACAGAGACAAATGACGTAAATGGATAGATGGGAAGAGAGAGAGAGAGATAAAAAGAGAGAGAGAAATAAAAACGGGGGAGAGGAATCTATTATGCCTGTTTTAATACTAGGAAAAACACACCTTGGACTGGTACTAAGCTGCATCAGTACGGACTAGTAAATTAATCTCAGTCAATCAGTTAGGATATGCATTCATAGATCTGAATGGTGCAGCTGGAGAAAGAACTCACAAAGAACAGAGAACCGAAAGAAAGTGAACAAGACGGATCAAGATGGCATAACAAAGAACCTCATAACGGAACTCACCTCAAACCAGTGTGTGTGTGTGTGTGTAAAACTTCAGGAAATTCAATAACAACTTAATAACTACTTGAGGAGCATTAGTAGTCAAATTTCACGGTGTAGCGAACATATTCAGTCATATATCTTGCCAAGTAGACCCGATTAACCACTCAGTTTAATCGAACCTGGTGGATGCAACGCGATAAAAACCTCTAAAGAACCTTCACCACAGCACAGGTCCGTCGTCCATTATAAGCCTTTAGTGTGAGTAAAGATTAACCCCGTGTATATAGAATCCTTTCAAAACTCTTATTACCCAACTCCGTCATAGAGGGTTCGATCCTATTAGCGCTGCCAATACATGTGAAGGTAAGGAAGAATAGGTTGTGGGATCGAGGCGTCTATAGTGGTCCAGTGGAGTGTGAGCGATAGATCAGTGTATACCTCGCTTTGGTGGTGTCTATAGCGGTGGGAATTTATTGGATCTGATCCTATTTGCTGAGCTGAGAAGAGACCGTGTTTCTTAAGGCTCAATTGCGTTCAAGGAATTTTGTGGTGTGTGTGTGTGTGTTTGGATTCTTCTTCTTCTTCTTCAATCTTTCTGTTTCTTCATTATTATTATTATTATTATTATTATTATTATTATTATTATTATTGTTATTATTGAAGGAAACTGAAAGAAGAAAATGAGAAAGTGAGAAGGAAAAAAAACGGAACGAGAGAGAATAGAGAAAAATGATAACAGTAGAGAGAGAGAGATGCATGGTAAAGAATCTGAGAGAAAAGAGATTAAAAAGAAAAAGGAACAAATTGATAAAGAGAGAGAGAGAGAGAGATCACCCACACTTACGTCCGTCTTCTCAACAGGTAATCCTACTATATGCAAGTCTCAAGTTCCTGTGTTTTTTATCAGTCCTCTTTCTTACGAGGGTCGAATATCCCCGTCTAGGACTTCCGAGTAGGGTATTCTCACCTAGGATTTCCAAGTAGGATATCCCAATGGAGGGTTTCCGACACTAGGATCCCAACGTAGGATTTCCGTTAGTACAGTAGGAAATCCCCACCTAGGATTTCCGACATCACGTAGGATATCCCCACTTGTACTAATTCCCCCTGCGTAAACTATCGTAAAATCCCAATAGCTCTTACGATACACCTTCCCTACCAAGCTAAGTGATAATAATTTTACGATTTTTCCACACCATTATCGTAGGGCTTAGGGGAGGGGGGGGAGGGGGTGCGGGAGGTCAGGTAAAGGGTAGGGCCGTCCTTCTCTTTCTGTTCCTCCTCCAGGGTTTACACCACGTGGAGCTGAGGTAGGAACAAGTAAGGACGTGTACCAACTTGTTCTTTGTTTACACCAACCAGCTGTTCATTGTTGTTCTTGGGCCGTGTGTGTGTGTGTGTGTTGGGGGAGGTAGCAGTGAGGGAAGGAGGAAGTATAAATGAGGTGATGATTCACAGTCCTCCTCCTCCTCCTCGCTTTCACACGTGCACATTCCACACCCTTGCTGTCCCTCCCCCCCTCCTCCTCCACCCAGAGCACACTGACGGCTGGACTCCTGTCGCCCCCCCCCTTCATCCCCCACCACTACACGTTGCTACCTGTTGACAACATACCATCGCGTCGCGCTCACAATTACCTCCCCCCCCTCCTTATCCCACACCCTCCATTACACTCTCTCCCCCACCCCAGCCTTTACCCCCTCTGTTCTTCCCCCCACTCCTCAACACCATGTTATTGCCGCCATAACTACTGCCATCACGAACATCCCCCACCCCCCTCTCTTATGATACGCCTTTTCCCCTTCCAAGGATACGCCTTCCTTCTTCCCTGTCTCTCTGTGTCTATCTTCACTACTCTTTTCCTGTTTCTATATGTGTTTGTCTTCTTCATTCCTCTGTTTCTATCTGTATTTCTCTTTCGATTTCTCAACCCTTGTATCTGTCACTCTCACTCTCGTTTTGGTTTCTACTTTCTCTCTCTTCACATGTACGTCTCTTTTTCTCTCTCTCTCTCTCTCCTTCACTCTGCCTCATCACCTATAAGGGTCTGAGAGTCACTATGTTATAGAACTTCCTATAAACGTAATTGTGTGTATTATTCCCAGCTTGTTTTGTTTTTTTATTTGGTAGCGTGTATGTACTATGTATGTATGTACTGTGTATGTATGTATGTACTGTGTATGTATGTATGTACTGTGTATGTATGTATGTATGTGGCGTGTACAAACAAATCCTCATTAGGGTTAAGGAAAACAATACATCAGTGCACACAATTTACTGTCAAATAATACAATAATCATTTACAAACAATATCACATGCTAATTCAGCCATAAACTCCTCTATTTACATTTATTTACAGGGCGAGTCTGGTCATGTTGAGCTGAACCAGATATATTGAGAAACAAAAACATCATATATTCACGAAAGTAAAGACCTATATGTATATACCTTTCCTATACAAAGTGTTAATATATACTAATAATTTGTCCTGGTAGAATAATATACACAAATGCCGGGTAAAGGATATAATATAGGTGAGAATTAACAATATCCTCAATAATAGCAACAAAAGGTACACACACACACAGACACATATAATATACCATTATTTTTTGTATATGAATTTATTGATATATGTTAGAGATTATCATATATGTAAATGTACGATAATTATGATTCATATATTCGTAAATAATATAGTATAGTTCCCGAGCCATAAACGTAGCTTATGATTCGTCCCACAGCAACACACAGAAGACTAAGTGACTTCCTTACATCTGACTCAACACAGGAAGCCACATATGTGTATTTACAATATTAATAAGTGTCGGGTTCTATTATGTATATATATATATTTATACGTATATACAACCAATCCCGAGGTCCAGGATTAGCTGATCACTGTACAATGATTGGGAGTGACTAGAACTTACTGTCTAAGTTAGTAACACATATATATTATTATAAAAAACCGTAACATTGGCTGGACTGTGTTACGTTACATGGATCTATGTTATGTAACACGGAGCTATGTTATGTAACACGGAACACTGTAACTTAACACGGAACTAAATAAAGCATAACTTGCCCTGACCGAGGCCAACAATACTGTAACGTATGTAATTTTCACGAGGAAAAAAACAAAATACTGTAATTCAAGGTACAAAATGTTGAAATGTATGAGACAAATGAATAATATGTCTTAATTTATGGAGACAGTGAACTGGGGTAGTGAGACATTAAGACGAGGCATGCTGGTACAAGAAGCAACATTGCGACACGTAAGCGGAGCCAGAAAAAGCTTGATTCATGAACAGAAAACGAAGGCTTCTCTCTCCCTTGTCTTTATCTATCTATCTATATTCTGACCTATCACATAAAAGTACTGTTGTTCCTTGACTACATGCTCAAATATTAGAAATGGAATTCAGTAAAGGTAGATGTTAAAACTGATAACAATCCGTCAACAAAGATTTTCATATTGGAACCTCTCCTGGGTTTGCATTCAGATCTGTTGATTGTAAGTCTTAAAAAGAGTTACAATTGTAAATAATAATAATAATAATAAAATGTTAATACAAAAAATAATAATAAAACAATAATAATAATAAAATAATAATAATAAACGTGTCACTGTTGCCAGATCTGTATACAAACATTAATATTTAAACGCCGCCTCAAACACCTAATACAACAGATGCTTAGTAAACGTAAGGTAATGAGATCACAACACAAGACTCGTATGGATGAGTGGATGAAACTCTCCTTGGATGAATGACTCTCAAAAAAAATATACGTGAAGTGGATGAATCAACTCGTAAAAAAAAAATGAAGAGGGTGATAATAAAAAAAATTCATCCCCAGATTTGTAAATATTATGGAAAGTCTTTGTTGAACTGTATGACAACATTCAAGAAGCGACAGACTGACATACGTATAACCATATCTTGGACTCTTGTGGCGGGAACCCTTAATAACATTTATCTATATATATAAAAAAAAGAAGAATGACTAGAAGCAATAGGAGCAAAACAAGAATGCCAGTGATTGGATACTAAAGATGACGTCAGAGGGATGCAGAGAGATGAGTGGTTGACTTCTATGATGTGTTATGAATGGATACTAAAAATTACGTCATAACGATACAAGGAGCTAAATCGGTGATTTTTAATGACGTAATTGTCGATTCTGTGATATGATTGGATGATACTGATGCAGGGAGCTGAGTGGATGACATGAGTGGTGTTATCAGGCTGTGGTATGAGTGGATGACATGAGTGGTGTTATCAGGCTGTGGTATGAGTGGATGACATGAATGACGTCATCGACAGCGCTCTTATAATCTGATGGGCTGAATGTCGTGGTAAGAGTTTCCTTTGACTATAACAAATGTGATAAATACTGCTTGTAATGCCTGGGTATAATAATGAATGATGTCATGCAAGTGTCACCGCCGTAGCTGTGACAATGTGGGTGTCCAACTCTATTGCATCTCAGAAACTGGCTTGTTGTAAGCTATGACGTCACAGCTTCTTTGGCGTCACATGTAGGAGAGATGATTGCCAAATGTGATGTCGTGACGTCATGGATACACTGTGAGGCGAGTGGCTGGTACAAGTGACGTCATGGCTACACTGTAATGCGACTGGCTGGCACAAGTGACGTCATGACTACACTGTAATGCGAGTGGCTGGCCCAAGTGACGTCATGACTACACTGTGAGCAAATGGTTGGTGCCCAGGTTGGATCACAAGGCGGCCAGCAGCAGTAGCGTAGACACCAACAAGGACTGAAGGAGCCTGGAGGAGGCCCTGCCGCTGCTGGAGTGAGCTGCCCTGGGAACTGTGAGGAAGAGGGAAAAGGACACGGTAAATAAATAAATAATAATAACAACAACATTCAAACCTTTCCTGTAATCACACACATACATACATACATACACACACACACACACACACACACACACACACACACACACACCAAAGCACAACAGACGCGAACACAATACACACACAACACAAAACAGACACCGTAACACAAACACCACAACACAACACCAGTACTCACTCTCATTGTTCCAGGGCGGCTCCTCAGTACTGTCAGTCTTCTTAAGCCAAGGGTTCTTGGTAGTGGGCGGCCACCAGGGGGGACGCGAGGACGCCTCCAGGTGGGGGGGTGAGGGGGTGGACGACCTGGCCTCGATCTCGCTACACGTCGCTGTGGGGGGAGCAGGAACACAAGGGCGAGTTAAACTAGATATACTTAGCGATATAGATACAGTTAGTTACCTCATATAACGTAATATATTGTTTATTTTATTATAAGAAATGTTATGTAGTATAAAGATTAACGGTATATCAAGTCCTTTATATGAGTCAATGAGGTTCGAACTGTGAGTTATTAGTGAGAGAGACAAGAATTACCACTAAGCCATCGAATGGAATTGTTGGTTATGTAATTCACTCTCCCTCTTTCCTTCTCTCACTCTCTCCTTACCCACCCTCTCCTTCCCTCACTCCCCCAACCCCTCACCTTCCCTCACTCCCCCAACCCCTCACCTTCCCTCACTCCCCCACTCCCCCAACCCCTCACCTTCCCTCACTATCCCACCCTGTCCTTCCCTCACTCCTCCAACCCCTCTCCTTCCCTCACTCCCCAACTCCTCCTTCCCTCACTCCCCAACCCCCTCACCTTCCCCTCCTCCCCCCAACCCCTCTCCTTCCCTCACTCCCCAACCCCCTCACCTTCCCTCACCCCCTCACCTTCCCTCCTCTCCCCCAACCCCTCACCTTCCCTCCTCCCCCAACCCCTCCTTCCCTCACTCCCCAACCCCTCACCTTCCCTCACTCCCCAACCCTCACCTTCCCTCCTCCCCCCAACCCCTCCTTCCCTCCTCCCCCAACCCTCACCTTCCCTCATTCCCCAACCCTCCTTCCCTCACTCCCCCAACCCCTCACCTTCCCTCACTCCCCAACCCCACCTCCCTCACTCCCCCAACCCCTCACTCTCTGGTACTCACCTTGCCTGACCAGCTTCATGCCATAAGCCAGAGGTTGTAGTCCCCTCTTACAGCTGGTGCCCGCCTCGATGATAAAGATCTCATTAGGGCTCACCACCACCCCGGCGAAACACTCGTAGGTGTCCACGTCGCGGCGGTGTGTGTAGGTGTACATGACCCCGCCCTCTGACCACTGACCCAGGCACCTGTACTCTCGCTCTGTGTGTAGGGGTGGGGGGGGAGGGATTAGCTGATTGGTTCAATGATTAGGTGAAGAATTAGATGATTGGGTGAGGGAGTAACTGACTGGGTGAATGATTAAAGGATTGGTTCAATGATCGGGTGAGTAATTAACTGATTGACTCACTGATTGGGTAAGGAATTAGCTGATTGATTCAATGATTGGGTGGTAGATTAATTGATTAGCTCATTGTTTGGGGTGATTGAATAACTGATTGGCTGGGTGTTTAACTGATTTGCTCGATAATTGGTTCAATGATTAAGTGAGTAATTAAATGATTGGCCCAATGATAGGGTAAGTGATTAATGGACTGGGTGAGTAATTAACTGATTGGCTCATTGATTGGATGAGTGATACAGGTGTACAGGAAGGTATGAATGCATGTAAACAATATATAAAATAAATAATTACAGTGCCATCAGATACATGCCAACTCCTTATTTACAACTCGTTTACAAACACACAAGGCGATGATGCTTCAAGCGAGAGAAACAAACAAACACACACACACAAACACACGTCAATATACGAAAGAGTTAGTCATGCTAGTGAATAACAACTACAACAATTACAACCACTACTACTACTACGTCTAAAATAAGCGAAGAAAAAAGAAAATAATTCGAAAATAATGTGAAAATTTTGAGCCTCTACTAATATAGGTAATGGTGCTTGCATATTATATCACTCAAAAATACATAATGCATCGTTCTCTGTGCTTGAGGTCAGAATGATGGGTCAGAGAAAGGTCATATATATAATGGTCATTTTTCTTAGTTGTATTTCATTCATTATTAAGGAATTAAAAGTGTCATAGTGATCTTCATTTTCACAAGCAGGTACTGTGAGTCACTTTCCGGTCCTGTAAATTAATTCCAAGTCATGAGTCAGTCAAATCACTTTCGCATTATTGTATTTTGTCTTTAGTCGATGTTAAGTCACTGTCGACCAACTGTAATTCACTTATTAATCGTTTAGGTCAATTGTGATGATCGTTAAGTCATTTTATTTTGGTAATATAGTTCGTCCTCCTCACAGTCCTCGTCAACAAATTCAAAGTCATAAAACTACATTGACATGTTCTTATTTTTTCAGGAGCTGGTTTAGGTACTTGGAGGCATCCCTGTACCGGTCAGACCAGATGTGTACTGGGTCCAGCAATAAGTCAGGTGGACAGAACCTGGACCCTCAGGTGGACCGGGCCGAAGTTCAGGTAAACAGTCTACTGTATGTTAGTTTCATGTCGTCCAGAACAAAATAAAAAAGGTAGTACTCGTGCAGGTACGTGAACTGGGTGCTGGTGGTGCTGGTCTGATCTAGCGTGAAAACGACCAGACGTGGTGTGCCTACCAACCCCCACCCCCTCCACACCTTCCCTCCCCTAACCCATAAGGGTCAATTGAAGGAGAGAAGGGAGGCCATATGAAAGAGGGGAGGAGGGGGAGCAGGTTTACAAACATGGCACTGGTGGGGGGAGGGGTAGAGGGGAGTGAGGCACTGTACAGTGCGTGGTGGGGTAGGGAGGAGGAGTCTACGGTGCCGACACTGAGGTTTTACACTGCTGGTGCTCTTGTAGGAGGAGTGTGGTGGTGCTGCTGGTGCCACGGCACTGCTGGTGGAGGGCCAAGAGCTACAGGAGTACCGGGAGAGGACAGGCCAGGCCAGACAGCGAGCCTCCCATGGTTGGGTTCTGACCTTCGATGGTGACAGGTTCCTGACCCTTCAGGTGAGCCCAGGCTGACTCTTTGGACTCGACGCGGAAGTAGAAGGGTCGCTCGTGAGGGTATGGCAGGCGGGTAGTGCCCTCAACCACGCCAGACCCTGCCACGTCCTGTGGGCGCTGCTGCTGTGCCTCCATCTGCGTCTGTGCCTGTGCATTGGCCTTCGGCGCAGACGTGCGAACTTCTTCGTTGGGGAAGACGTAGATCTGCCTCGGCGGGTGCTCCCTGCGCCGCGGCTGCGCTCCGATAGTAGTAAACTGCGCGTCGACAGACCAGCCAAGTTCTGCTGCGCGGTTGTATGCCCAAGATAGCTGGCGGGGGGCGTGGCGAAGGGCGTGGCGCGTGGCCCGGGCCCCCAGCAGGGAGCGTGGGTTTGACACATGGTACACGTTGCGAAGGTGTCGCCTGGGGGAGGCGACGCCCGCGCTGCTTGCCCCGCTGATGTGGCCGCGATCTATCACCATCAACAACATCATGACTCATCGTCTCACACTAACACCTTCTTAACCTATCTATAGTAAACGCCCGTACCATAAAAACAGCGCCAATGCGACCAATAGACAACGCCCGACATTCCGTCCGCCCCACAATGATAAGCTGGTGGACGTGCCAGCACGCCAGACGAACTTCTGCCTGCCTACTACCAACAGTGGCGCTATTTTTCTGGTACAAGCAACAAGCAGTCCCCTGAGGTGAAACCTTCCAGAGAAGACCCAAGAAACTATATAAAGATATATTAAGATACTTCAAGAAATTCTAAGAGGTACTCCACGATATATTGATATTGGTTAAGGAAGGTCAAGAGATACCAAGAAAATCAAGACATTTCAAGATATATTAATATACTTCCCGAAACATTAAGATTATTTAAGAATATATTAAGAAATATGCCGACGGGAGGTGTAACACTCAGACTCCGGGAACACCTTAGAACATCTGTGTAAAATTCGTTCTGTGCCGCGTGGTTGTCGACACAGAGAGGTTGTTAGTGTATCTATAATCAGTTAATGACCAGGGAATAAAGCCATTAAAGATGATCATGCAGTTAATACATTAGTTAGTACAAGATTGAGCTCGTCCAGAGAGGACTTAATGGATTGTTTACAAAGTCCCTTGATGTCTCTGTTACGAAGGTTCACAAGTAACATATTGGAAACACAGATTTAAGTACTTTATTAACCTCTACACGTCTCTCTATGTATCTGTGTCTTCCTGCCCGTCTTTGTCACAGCGAACATAGCAAGATAATACAGTAAACGTGGATAAATAAACGTTTTCATTACTTGTGTCTCGGATGTTGGATATCTTCAAGGGACTGTGTGTAGACGAACATCAAGGGACTTTATAAACACCGTCTTAGCCTGAAGACTTCCCAGCTGTTATACATACATACAATTATTAATAAACAAACACCCTCCCACAAACACACACACAATCATAAACAAACAACCCCTCACCCTAAATATCCCCCCCCCTCCCCCTCCTCCCCCCTCCCGACAATCCACTCAAAACTCACCCTCATAAATCTCGGTGTCGTTGAAGCAGGAGCTGACGGTGTAGTGCATGTGCTGAGGGTCACTGCAGTCGGAGGAGAGGCGGGCACACAGCTCCTGGGCGTCGGGGATCACGCCTGTGTACTCTCCTGTGATGGGACACCCCGACAGGTTCTCTGGGTTGAGACCTTTGGTGTGAGAGAAGAGAGAGAGAGATGGTTAGAGGCTGTGAAATATTGAGAGGGGGGGAGGGGAGGGTAGAGAGAGAAAGAGAAATTGGTGATAGAACTAGAGACGAAGGAGAGAGTGGTACAGGGAGTGAAAGGAAAAGAAAAAAAAACGATGAAAAGAAAGAGAGGACTTCCCATAACACATCAAGTAAACAAACACATATACAACACACACACACACACACGGGGGTAAAAGAGGGTTGGTTACTTACGTCCTTGTGTCAACCATTCCTGCCCCCGGAACATGTCATCAGAGCAGATCCTGGAGGCGTTGTATAGTTCGCTGGGGTAGGAAGCTGTGGACAGACAAACAAACACACACTAAAGACGGCTGTTGTACTCTCTGTCTGTTTATGTCGTAGTTAACTGTCTGTCTCTCTGTCTAACTAAAGAGGTCCTGTTTTGTCTTATTTTACGGTATAATTAAAAACTTGATCTATCTGTGGTATCTACCTGTCTCTTATCAACCAACTATATATCAATCTGTCTCTCTGTCCACCACAAACTCACCTGTCTGGTACTCTATCACGTTGACTGCTCTCTTCTTGATCCAAATACAACTGAACGTCTCCTCGCCGCTGTGGGTAAGAGACAAACATTCAGACACAACAGAAAATAGGTACTAAGAGGTACTAAATTATATCAGGATTGGGATGACGTGGAGATTAGGTTAAGTTAGGTCGTGTTAGATCAAGTTAGGTTTAGTTAAGTTAGGTTTGGTTAGATTAGGTTAGTGTTTAATTAAATATCAAGTTAAATAAGCCGGGGGTCTAATCTTCATGTGATCCGAATTTACCTGAAGGTGGTAACTATGGTAAGTCTTAATACCTGAAGTGAGTAACTAACCATTGAGTCTTGGAGTAGAGGGCGTACCGCTCGCCGTGTGGGGCGTGTTGGGAGAGGCACAGCGTCTGGTACTTCTTGTCTGCCCCGTTGTCCTGAATCCACAGCTCATTGGCGTCGATCTGAAGGAGGCGACGCAGAAGGAGGAGGTTAATGAGAGGCTATAAATACATTCGTTTGTGGGACAGTTGAGAAATGTCTTCCTCTGTGTTATTTTAGGTTACACAAATTAGACTAAAAGGTGGTTGGAATATTATTCTTATTGTCGGGATACATATTTATGAATAAAAAGGGGAGCAATAAAGTATGTATTAATGAATGTAACAGATAAAAAGAGGATAGAATGGAAGGAAGAAAAAAGTAAAATAATTTAAAATTACGAAAAGCTAAAACGGAGAGAGAGAGAGAGAGAGACCAGCCGTCGACCGTGCGTGTTACCCAACTCACCTGCAGGTGTTGCCAGGAGCCCTGAGCCCAGCGGGGGAAGGCGCAGACGGTGGTGTGGACGACGGCAGGGGGCGCTGGGGGGGTGACGGGGGTGAGCACCATCGTCTCGTATCCATCCCAGGGGCTGTGCAGATGGTTGGTGCAGGTGGCGTCAATACTGAAGCTCAGGAAGACTCGACCGGTGGCTGATTCGACTGAGTACATCTGCCAGGAGAAGGTTGATAATAACTGTGTCGTGTGTGTGTCCCTAGGAATCACTGACATATTAACTGTATCACTGGAACTGAGATAGAAGAAGAAGAGGACTTACAGCACAGCGGTAGCGAGGCTGGTTGTCGGTGGTGACTTTGGGGTCCCACAGGGCGAGGTACTGGTGACCGTCGTGTCCCTGCCAGTCTCCCAGGCACCTCAGACCCATTTCCAGCTCACCGAAGGAACACCTCCTGAACCTGTACCAACGACAAGATGAACCGGCGTTGTGATTCACTTGTTTTATTGACTTAAAACCCACAAGAATAATTTTGAGCATCGAACTGTAAACTCTTAAAATATGAATATTTCTTCTCTATATTTGGGGAAAATATGTCATGACTCACATCATGTTGAACACTTGGCTTCTAATCCATTAAATATCTTCAGTCCTAATCATCAAAATCTCTCATCTCACCTAAGCTGGAGCTCTGAGCCCATGGGACAGTTAGAAAGCTCTGAGGTAGGGTCGGGGCACTCCACCGAGCTCTCCGTCCCGTCGTTGACGTCATAAGTAAAACGGAAGCGGCCGCTGATGGGACAGAAGACACGGTCGATCTGTCCATCCTGCGTGAAGCTCCGAGATTCTGAGGAAGGAAGACGAAACAAAATGTTCAAGTTGTCCCTGGCGTAATTTGAGCTGTAATCTCAGTATTACTTAACTCATATAAGTTTTGACTAGATTCTGAGGTGTTGAGGAACCCCAGCTACCAAAACAAAGGCCTGTCTGATGAAAGTCACCGTCTCATTTCCAGCAGACGGATGTAACACCGACGTGACGTCTTGAATGTAAATAGAAACAAACTTTCCCACCTGGTGGTCTTGTACGGCGCTGATTGGCTCAAAGACCACCACATTCATTTCCCGGTTCAATTACGTCACCGTCGGTAAAAGGAAGACCTTCATCTAATCATCTAAATTACCTTTTCTCCGTCAATGTTGTTATAGTTATATTTATTCTCAGATGCTTAGCTAAATTGTTGGTGTTAATATCTGCAGCCAATTAGAACATTAAAAGTGGAAAATGAGCGAGAACACAAGAGTCATTCCCCCACTTACTGTAGAGCATGATCTCGCTCGCCCTGTTGGCTTTAATGGTGTGTAGGGTCGGGCAGGTCTGGTGAGCGGCGGCCTCTGTGGCGTAGCACTTGTTGAGGCCCTCAGTGTAGATCTGACGGAGGGGGTGAAGGAGGGGTGGTTAGTTCAAATTACAGTAGAGTGAAGTAGGGAGAGGGATGGTGACAAGGTATATTGATTCGTCGTGATCGCTGAAAGCAGACATGGACAGAGAAGGACTGATGTATGAGTGTTGGCGAGGGGAATATCACACGCACGCACACACACACACACACCACCACCACCCACACACACACACACACATATCCCTACACACACACATATCCTTACACATACATGCACACACACACACACACACACACACACACCTGGATGACGTTGCCGGAGTGTAGAGAGATGTGGAAGCACCTGAAGCAGTCCTCGCCTCCTGTAGGGTCCCTCAAGATCACGTTGTTGTCGAACTTGCGGTGACAAACGCCCCACACAGGGATGGCGTCAGGCAGGATGGTTACCTGGAGGAGGCCACGAATGAGGGCGTCAATACAGGGAATCTGATCTAATGAACCTACCTGTATAACCTAATTACTGTGGTAGGCGATGAAAGAGAGTTAGGAACAGGTTATTATATTTTTTGGGATTTCCTGTATAATCTCGTCTCCTGGGGAAGGTGACGAAGGAGGGGCGAGTAAAGGCTACAGAACGTCATATTTTACCTGTGTCTCTTTATTACCGAAGGAGGTGATAACGTAAGGAGCAACACAGGTAAGTCGCTTGAAATTTCAGGATTTAATTAGTTATACCTGAAGATGTTTTTATTAATGCCTTCTGGATGTCAAATGTATTGTACATTATTCATCTGTTTCTATCGACTACTACTGATAATAATAATAATAACAGTACCATTAGGCTGTTAGTTTTCCCTTTATTTTTATTATTATTATTATTATTGAAGAACGTTATAGTAGTAGTCATTGTCATTACACCTACCTGGGAGTACTGGTGAACAGATCCTTCAGAGATACTGGAGATGCTGGACTGGGTGGCGAAGATGCCCTGGTACTCTACCGGGAAGTAACACACCCCGGCCACTGTAACACATCAACAACAACACTGTCAGTAACACTTATAAATATGGAGAGGTAGAGGGAGAAATAGGGAGAGGTAGAGGGAGAAATGGGGAGAGGTAGAGGGAGAAATAGGGAGAGGTAGAGGGAGAAATATGGAGAGGTAGAGGGAGAAATGGGGAGAGGTAGAGGGAGAAATGGGGAGAGGTAGAGGGAGAAATAGGGAGAGGTAGAGGGAGAAATGGGGAGAGGTAGAGGGAGAAATGGGGAGAGGTAGAGGGAGAAACAGGGAGAGGTAGAGGGAGAAATAGGGAGAGGTTAGCTAAAACAGGTAACGTTAGGTGAAGTTGAGATCTGCGAGCGTTAGGTTAGGATCTGCTAGGATTAGGTTTGGATCATTTCACTTGAGTTATTTTCAATATCTCATCTGCTTATCTCATAACATATCTCTCACTGCACAAAGTATCACGTTGAGAAAGATATTTTTAAGTTTTGTGTTGAAGCGCAAAACGAAGTGAATATTTTAACACGACTGACAGAAGGTAGACATTCTTAGGCCCTCGTGCGTGTCTCTCTCTCAACATTATCACGTCGAGTTTTTGTTGCTCTCTCCACTGAGTACATTTAGTTATATATAAGGTAGAGTTTCAGGGCAATATCGACGCAAGTTGTATGTCATGCTGTAGGTTGGGGGGAGGGAGGGAGGGAGGGGGGGTGTTAAAAATAGCGCGGAACTGCTGCGTGAGTCCAGGATTATGTTGACCTTTCCCCGACCCCCCCCCCTATACTCTTCTCCACCCATCCTCCCCTAGTTCATTCCCCTCCATCAGGACTATCAACTCCACGCCGGCACGCCCTCTGGCTCAACCATAGCAGCGCAGGTGTTGAAAATTACACCTAACACCCCACCCCGCTGCTGGTAGGATGTGCATCAGTATTGCCGCGCCGGTATGCTCGTTGCGGGGCGCTCTGTTGTTGTCACGGTATTAAGCCGAGTCAGGGGCCCTAGGGGTGGAGACGAGGACGATCAACCATTTAGTAATGACTTTTCGGTGATCCTGGATTTATTACGGTATAAACAATATGTGGGGATCAATTTCTAGTTATATACAACACAACTTATAAAATGGCTTCACAAGAAATAGAATCTGAAATATATGGAACTATTCAGCGAGGCCGTTCACATTGACACAGGAAATCGGAATCTGATTTTGTTGTGTTGGGGTGATATCAGTTGTCAATCAATATGACATTTCCGACCGTGAGTTATCGGACATGGGTCGAATTTACACCTGATTGCGTTATCGGTATCCAGGTACTGATAACTCTAGCTGAGAGAGAGCGGGGAAGGGGAATCGAAACTGTCCCATATTGCCCCCTCATCCGGGTACTGAATCCATTTTAGTATTGATAAAATTTTTCGTATTATATCTTCGAGGAAAATTACTATTATGTGATACGCAGATCTCTCTCTCTCTCTCTCTCTCGTTTTGACTTTCCTTTTCGTTTACGCTTTCATCATCACGAAAAATAAAGCAGAGAGAGAGAGAGAGAGAGAGAGAGAGAGAGAGAGAGAGAGAGAGAGATCACTCATCATACACACGGACAACATCAACAAAGGATATCCTCCTGGTGGGCGTTAATACTGCTCACCTGGACCGCCGACCTTACGCCCACCCCACCCTCCCTCCCTCTCTCTCACACTCTCACGCCAGTTCACACACACACGCACGTTTCGCCCGTATACACACACACACACTCACGATTTTGTTTTAAGCCATGTAAATGTATTCAATGCATATTATATCATTATGTCTAAATCAAATGTAAGTAAGTCTGTATATTCTCAGCCACCGGCTGCAACTCTATTAATAAACCGTTTATTATTATTATTAATATTATTTGCGATTATACATGTTTTTTGTTTCTCATACATATCCTGTACATAAGCCCATTTGCATGTTCACTTAAAATGCTTCTCTCACCCATACGTACACGCATATTCTCTCTCTCTCTCTCTCTCTCTCTCTCTCTCTCTCTCTCTCAGACACGTTCCGGTAGCAGCAAGACGGCAGGCGGGGACCAACAACCCTAGACGATAGTACGATGAATCTGGGTTTTCTGGGAACTCCTGGGAGCCGAATTCTCATTAATTATTGCTCGAGCGATCTGGTCGATTGATTGTGTCTCTCGCCGTGGCGCCTCGACCAGACCGAGACTGATGGGCGGCCTTGATCTGTGTCTGAATTTTTTTTCTTCTTCTTTTTCGTGAACTTGCGGTATTTTTTTTTCTTTCGTTCTATTTTTGTTAAGGAATCGTAATTTGTTTTGGTGTTGAATGTCATTAGCTTTGGCATCGATTGTCATTTATTTTATTGTTGATTGTCATTTGTTTGTGGATGTGATTATTATTTGTTTGTATATGTAATTATTATTTGTTTGCTTCTCCAGGTCGTTTATTGATACATTACTGTCACTGCCATCATTTATAATCCAGAGGTATAATTATTTATTGACATTTCGTTGTGACTGTCACTTGTTTTTGTTATTTCACGATTATAAGAGCTGTGATCGCAGACAGTTGACAGGTAAATCTGTCTTTCCGTATGGTACTGTTATCGTCTGTGGGCATTTCAGTGTTAGATTTTATTAAACTATCTGTAAATCTATGGTATTATTTTGTTATAAGTTTCCTACGACAGTCTTTTTATTTTTGTGAGACTGGTGGGATTATCGTCTATAAACATTTAACTATGATCGTCATTTGTTTTAAGCTTTGGTGGTCACCATATGGGTAAATCCAGTAACTGAAGCTTGTGTTAGGTTAGGTTAGGTTTAGTCGTCAGTACTTAGGTTAGGTTAGGTTTAGTTCGTCAGTAATTAGATTAGGTTAAGGTTCAGGTTTAGTCGTCAGTAGTTAATAGTTCTTCATTTGTTTTCATAAGGTCAGTGATGTTCATATGTTATAAATTCGGTGATCGTCATATGTTTCTCCTGACGGGTGATGGATGGCCAGCTGCTTACAATCAATAACATAGATTTATCATCTTTTTAATCTCATTTTCATCCATGGGAGCCTGAAAAATACTGTCAGTCCACATTAATCTGACGTTGATTGATCAATTCATTGACTATAAATAAGCGTCATCAGCCTTATACAGCCCCCGCCACCCCACACAGCCCTTGCCACCCAACACAGCCCCTGCCACCCAACACAGCCCCCGCCACCCCACACAGCCCTTGCCACCCAACACAGCCCCTGCCACCCAACACAGCCCCCGCCACCCAACACAGCTCCTCCTCAACAAACAAGTAATCACACCACGCACGAATGGCTGAACAGAAGACTTGGTTAGAGGTTAATAAATTCGACTCCATCCTCCGAGATCAGTGTCATGCGCACAGGATACAGACGCGGCCGCCGTAACAGGGATATGGCACCCACCCCCCCCCAGTCCAGCCTCCGAATACTCTCACTCGACTGTGGCTTAGGATTACTAATATATCATCCACCACCACCACCTTTCTCTTAACGCTAATCCCTTTCCCAATCCATCCTAATCTCTACATAGTGATTAGATAATTGTTGTGTGTTTTAAAGCCAGGAGATGTTAGAGTGTTAATGGTATAAATAGACAGGGAGGAGGAGGTGTTAATGTAGTCAGATTGAAGGGTTTAGGGGACGTTGGCACGGCTGGGGGACTTAATAACAGGACAGACAGGTGTGTGTGTGTGTGTGTGTGTGTGCGCGCGACCCTGCTAGTAATGGTGCTTTATATTACACTATGTTGCGTAATTTATGGTGTGGTCGGTCATTCTTTGCGTCACATGTTGCTTTACGAAGTTTGTTGTGTTGCGTCATTGTGAATATTCTGGTTATCGACACTTCCTCACCTCCATCTTAAGTGACGGGTTGTGACGGTGAAATAGGAGGCTACTAAGTCTTCCCTCGTAACACCAAGGACGTCACGTTATAGCCAGTGATGTGTGACGCCCGTAACACCCAGAACGTGACACTGGCCAGCTGACGATAAGAATGAGTGGGTGGGTGTGGTGGATTGTGCAATAAACGTCATTAAGCTTCCTGTGTGACGCCCCCGTAACGCACTATGAATAAAATGGTAACGCTATATGAAATTTGAGCGACAGATCATGACGGTGTGCAATAAGCGTCACAAACCTTCCTTCAGTGACAACAGCTGACTCTAAGACTAAGGGAGGGAGTCGTGACGGCGTGTAACAGGCGTCACTAACCTTCATGTGTGACGCCCATAACAACCGACCAGCCCGTCACACTAAGATGACTAGTAACGCGGTATACGCCTCCTCCCCCCCCCCTACCGCGCGTCGCACCCTGTCCGTCACAAGGTTAGAGGTCACGAAATATATCACACACTTCTTGTTTTGTTTTGTTTTGGCGGGGGGTCCTTTTATAAATTCAAGACTGCGAAATTTACACTTAAAATCTCTCTCTCTCTCTCTCTCTCTCTCTCTCTGCTCATATTTCCCGCTTCCTTTATAACTTCATTTCCGGAGTTTGACTGTAGGTGTGGGCGGCGGAAGCGGGTCTACAAACAGGAAGAGGGAGGAAGCTAATGCAGAGGGAGGAGGAAGCGGGAGGAAGCTAATGCAGAGGGAGGAGGAAGCGGGAGGAAGCTAATGCAGAGGGAGGAGGAAGCGGGAGGAAGCTAATGCAGAGGGAGGAGGAAGCGGGAGGAAGCTAATGCGAGGAAGGAGAAGCTAATGCAGAGGGAGGGGGAAGCTAAGCGAGGGAGGAAGCTAATGCAGAGGAGGAGGAAGCGGGGAAGCTAATGCAGAGGAAGGGAAGCGGGAGGAAGGAAGCTAATGCAGAGGGAGGAGGAAGAGGGAGGAGGAAGAGTGAGGAAGCTAAACCATAGGGAGCAGGAGGAGGACGGAAGCTAGACCAAAGGTGTTCGAACAGTGTTGTGTAGTTTCGGTTCGGTGCTGCTTCGAAGAAAAAAAAGGATCGATATTAAACTCGGAGGGGGGGGGGGGGTCAGTAT